TACTGAAAAGTCAAAAAGAAGAAATTCACTTTTAACTCATTAAAGGACTCATTTATTGAGAAAAAAATGCACCTCACTTATCACCTTACATGCAAGAGATGATGAGAAAGGACCATGTTGTAGCCTTTTTTGATCAAATTTGAGAATAACATGCGAACACCCAGGCACACCCTGTTGTCCACTTTGAGCTTTCTGCAGCAGAAAGGTGGATAATTAGTCCAAACAGGACAAAGACGCAAAATGTTCTGAAACTGTAAAGAGGAGCTTTAACACGTTCAACACAGCTCAAGTTTAACTGGAATTTCTTGTTTCTAACAGGACAGGCACTGACAGTTCACATACGAATGCTCACCACAGTAATTATAGTTCAACATGAATGTGCAAGTTTTAAAATCTCCGAGGGTTGTCGTCAAAACTCACAAGATGGAGTGCAACATCACAAAATATTATCAAAGTGTCAGATGTGATATTGTACCTGAAAACATAAGGATACTCTTAGAAAAGTGATTTCAAACCTTAAAAGTTGTAATATGTTGAGAAAATATTGCAGCTTTTTCTAAAACTAACCTTTTTTGCTGTGCATTTATGAAAAACAGGAAGTTTTCATTTTCCATAGGTGTTGTTTAGGTGCTGTAGTTTTCTTAGTCTTGTGGATCTATAGTATATTTCCCCTGTGTGTGTTAGAGGAGCACCTATCCCATAATGCAGCTGCTGCAGTAGAGTACATGCTACAAATAATAAGTTATAACAGTCGGTGTAAAATGGACCCGATGAGCTCAGGTTCCAGAATATTGAGGTTTGAACGCTGTGGATTGTGCTTGCAGGCTGAATAAAAAATGTTTTATGATTGTAAAACTAAATGAAAATCAATAATGGCCACGCTCTAAAAACTAAAATTCAAGTAAGAATGCTTATATTTATTTTGAGTAATATGCAAACAAAGAAACAAACTGCAATAACCCCTTAAAGAAGATAAAAAGCTTAATAAAAGCCACAACAATGTCTTTTCTGAGAACAATGAGATTATTAGAAGCTCAAAGATGAAAGCAGAAAATTAAACAAGTGTATTATTCTCAAACATTTTTAGTTTAAAGAAGCTTAATTTTCTCATGTTTTTAGTGCAGGGGTTCCCAGTCGAGGGCCTTGAGGAACACCATCCTGCATGTTTTAGCTGTTTCTCTTCTCCGACACACCTGATTTAAATAAATCGGTGATTTGCAGGCTTCTGCAGAACATGAGGAAGTAAATAAAACACTGAATCAGGTGTGATGGAGCAGAGAAACAACTAAAACATGGAGGATGGTGTTCCTCAAGGATGACAGTTGAGAACCCCTGTACTGTAAATACATTTTATAACAATTTTAGGGAGTTTTTTTTGTCTTATATGAAGAATACAAATTTGTTTATCATGTAACCTACAAAATTTATATTTCTTCACCCTTCTTTTGTTAAATTTTATTGTTAAAACTTAGTTGGTTATTCTTTGACAATCTGCCATTTATATTATTCTAATCATATTCAGAGTTCTAGAATTGTGCCGCTCAAGGTGGCTGCATGTTGGAGTAGCTCTGTTACTTTCATTCTGAGATATTACTTTTGATAACTTTAATTCCTCTTTTTTCTGGATATAAATCGCCTTTTTTTTGGATGATTATTTCCTCTGGTGTCGGATGCTGTGCAGCTGGAAGGATTTTTACAGAAATACCTTTGCTTTTGGACATTTGTTATGATGTGTTACCATAACAACAAGGTTTTTTACAACCGGGAGCAGCTGATTAACATCTCCAAATCTCAAATAATATCTCAACTACAGCCTCAAATCCCAAATGAGTTGAAAAGGAGGCGTCGTGGATGCAGAGCAGGAGCAAAGAAGAGGGAGAAAGAGAGAAGAATGCAGTTTAAACCATCTCTTCCATCGATCATGATGGGCAATGTGAGATCGCTGGGAAACAAGTTGGATGAACTTCAAGCCCTAACAAGGACCCATCCAGAGTATCGGGAATGAAGTATTATGTGTTTCACTAAGACATGGCTGCAGGATCATATCCCCGACTCCAGCGTTTCATTGCCAGGCTTTCTGACCATACGAGCAGATAGAGATTTAAAGAGGAGTGGCAAAAGGAAAGGAGGTGGGTTGGCAGTGCTTGTGAACAACAGATGGTGTAATCCTGGACATGTTACTGTGAAGTGTCGTCTCTGCAGTCCAGATATTGAACTGTTAGCCCTAAGTTGTCGTCCATATTATTTGCCAAGAGAGTTCACCAGTGTTATTTTGGCAACTGTTTACATTCAACCCAATGCTGTTGCTGAGACTGCGTGTGATGTCATCAGCTCTGAGGTTGCTAAGCTACAAACACAACACCCTAGTGCGTTTGTTGCAATATCTGGGGATTTTAATCATGCCTCTCTCTCTGCTACACTTACGACATTGAAACAGTTTGTCAGCTGCTCTACCAGAGAAAACAAAATGCTGGACTTGTTTTATGCAAATGTCAAGGATTCATACATCGCTAAAGCAAGACCCCCTCTTGGCAAATCAGATCACAATCTTGTGTATCTCTGCTCAAAATATAAACCCCTTGTTCAGAGGCAACCTGCAATAAAGAGAACAGTGAGAAAATGGTCAATGGAAGCTGAAAAAGCCCTGTGGGGTTGTTTTGACGCTACAGACTGGGATGCACTATGCCAGCCACATGGAGAGGACATCAATGCCATGACTGAGTGTGTGACCGACTATATAAACTTCTGTGTAAACAACACCATCCCCACCAGAACAGTGAGATGCTTCCCCAATAACAAACCCTGGATTACCACTGACCTGAAGGAACTGCTAAACCAGAAAAAAAGAGCCTTCAGGGAGAGAGACAGGGAATTATTGAAGAGCACACAGAAGCAACTAAAAGTCAAGATCAGAAACAGCAAGGAAGTGTACAAGAAGAAGCTGGAGAGCAAGCTCCAACAGAACAATATCAGAGAGGTGTGGTCAGGGATGAAACAGATCACAGGCTTCAAGCAGAAGGAGGATCAGAAGGATGGAAGCCTGGACAGAGCCAATGAACTGAACACATTCTTCAATAGGTTCAGTTCAGGAACAAGCTCAGCATCCTCCTCTCTTGCCCACAGCCAAACATACATACCACCCTCCATTGACCCAAGGCTTTCCTGTCACACCTCAAATATTGTATCTACCACCTCAGTCATGGACCCTTCTTCTACATATTGGTCTTCAACTAAATCAGAAGATGCTGATACCTCCTTTGCCTCCCCCCTCTGCATCTCCAGAAGTCAGGTGAGGAAGCAGCTGGAGAGACTGAACCGGAATAAGGCTGCAGGTCCAGATGGTGTCAGTCCCAGAGTCCTGAAGGTCTGTGCAGAGCAGCTCTGTGGGGTTCTGCAGCACCTCTTCAACCTTAGCCTGACCTAGGAGAAGGTTCCAGTGTTGTGGAAAACATCCTGTCTTGTTCCAGTGCCAAAGAAAACACACCCATCTGTCCTCAATGACTATAGACCTGTTGCCCTGACATCCCACATCATGAAGGTCCTAGAGGGACTTCTGCTGACCCACCTGACTAGACAAACAAGCACATATCAGGACCCACTGCAGTTTGCTTATCGGCGTGGACTTTGGAGTTGAAGATGCCATCATACACCTGCTTCAGCAAACTCACTGTCATCTAGAAAAGGCAGACAGCACTGTGAGAGTCATGTTCTTTGATTTCTCCAGTGCATTTAACACAATCCAGCCTGATTTGCTTTGTCAGAAACTCCAGAAGACTCAGGTGGAGGCCTCAACAATCGCCTGGATCAAAGACTACCTGACGGACAGACCACAGTTTGTGAGACTGAAGGGTTGTGTGTCTAACCAGGTGGTCAGTAGCTCAGGAGCACCACAGGGGACTGTACTTTCACCATTCCTTTTCACTCTGTACACCTCAGATTTCCAGTACAAAACAGACTTCTGTCATCTGCAGAAATATTCAGATGACTCTGCAGTGGTCGGGTGTATCAGAGATGGACAAGAAGCTGAGTACAGGGAACTGGTGGACTACTTTGTGGCATGGTGTGGAAACAATCATCTCATCTTGAATGTGAACAAAACAAAGGAGATGATTGTAGATTTCAGGAGAATCGGGAACAGATCCAACCCTATTTTCATCATGGGAGCAGAAGTGGAGGTGTTGGAGAAGTATAAATACCTTGGAGTTCACCTGGACAATAGACTGGACTGGAAATGCAACAGTGAAGCCGTCTACAAGAAGGGACAGAGCAGACTGTACTTCTTGAGGAAGCTGAAGTCCTTCAACGTTTGCAGCAAGATGCTGCATATCTTCTTTAAGTCTGTTGTAGAGAGTGCCATCTCTTCTGCCATCATCTGCTGGGGTAGCAGCACCAGAGCAAGTGACTTAAAAAAGATCAACAAGCTCATAAAGAAGGTTGGCTCAGTTCTGGGGACTCCTCTAGAACCTTTGGAAATGATTGTTCAAAGAAGGATTCTTCATAAAATGAAGAACATTATAGACAACCCTCAGCATCCTCTTCATCAGACTGTCATACAACAACAAAGTGTCTTCAGTCAGAGGCTTCTTCAAATCCGTTGTAGGACAGACCGCTACAAGAGATCCTTCCTGCCCACAGCCATCAGCATCTATAACAACTCTTTAATGAAACCAGGATGATGAGTTACAACAACATTTAATTTCCCTCTGGGATTAATAAAGTATTTTTGAATTGAATTGAATTGAATCAACCCAATACCAATGGCAGTCACAGAGGTATTTATTTTACTGAACTACTCTAATTATAGCGTACGATATTGAAGAGAATACAGATTAATCCACATTTAAATGTAAAAGTCATGTGATTTGCTCACTGTTGCTCATTTGTTTCTGTTTAGTAAAAGTTTCTGTCAGGATGATTTCTTAAATGATGTTTTAGTTCTGCAGTGTAATTAATTAACAAAAAGCAACAGTCACAGCTATTTTTTTCTGTGCTGTTTTTACCTTGAGAGGGTGCAGCTGCAGCTTGTTGGATCACAGACATTTCCTGGTTGAGCTTCTTCTTTGCCTCCAGGACAGGGTTCTCAAACTGGGTTCTCTGGTTGATGTGGCTGAAGCAAACAGGTTAGATTTAGGAGAGTACTGGATTACACACACACACACACACACACACACACACACACATCTGATCTCACTGTTTAAACAACTTGTTTCTGTCAGGGTCTGTGTCTTGTGTGTTATTCATTTATGCCCTGATGCATGCTCAATAATCCAGGTAGATGAATTTAACAAGGTTGAGTCAGGCCCTCTGGACAGATTCTTCTTTGTTGAAACGTTTTATCTTTTATTCAAAAGTCCTTCAGTCTGAGGAGCTGAAACAAACTCAGTCTTATAAATAGCACCTTCTCATAGTGGATCAACCAGTCTGCTGCTGACAGCCAAAACTAGTTGTTCAAATGATAAAGGAGCACCATCAGTCTAACAATCGATTGTTATTGTCCCGATGTCCGCTTGCTAGTCCCAGAGAGCTGAGTGATACTAGCAATAACGGCATTGTAAGAGGGGGACAGTTCAACACAGAGGCCTCCGCCCCTGTTTAATGATGGACAGGTTCTCTTCACAAAGATGGCCTCCTTCACTTCTCTCTCAAACCAACATTTATCTCTATCAAAGATGTGAACATCTTCAACCCTGAAAGAGTGACCGCTGGCCTGGAGATGAGTGTAGACCACAGAGTCCTGGTCTGATGATATTGATATTTTATATTGTGCTATTTTGTGGGACCAGTCTTTGCTGTGATGTATTTTGGGGTTTAAAAGCTACTGGGACATCATGTTTAAAAAAGAAACTTCTCAGTTTCTCTGAAACTCCCACAACATATGGAATGATGATGTTGCTCTTCTGTGTGTGTGTGTGTGTGGGGTGGGGGTGGGGGGGACTCTCAGGGTCTGTATCTTGTATGTTTCGTATATCACATCCTCGATAGAGAGGAATACTGGTTTGTGAGAGGAGTAAAGGAGGCCAACTTTGTGAAGAGAACTCGTCCATCATTAAACAGGGGCGGAGGTCCCCATGTTCAACTGTCACCTTCTTACAATGCTGTTATTGCTAGTATCACGCCACCCTCTGTGAATAGCAAGAGGACATCAGGGCACTAATGTTGATTGTTAGACCGATGGTCCTCCATGTGAACTAGTTTTGGCTGTCTCCGGCAAACTGGTTGATACACTATGAGAAGGTGCTGTTTATACCTGTATAACTGAGTTTGTTGCAGCTCCTCAGACTGAATAAGTATTTTGGATAAAATGTTTCAACAAAGAAGAATCCATCCAGAGGACCTGACTCAACCATGTTAGTGTAAAGCATTTAGTCTTTCTATGATTCTTGTATTTTTGTTTTACTTGTGTTTCAGCTCCTCAAGTATTTTCCCCCTCATGCAGTTCAACTCCTGCCCCCCCCCCCCACTCTCACCTGATCCTTGTCTCTTCCCATGCTGTCAGTTCCTCCCTCATTACTTTTCCTTTAAAGATTGTGTCATTTTTCTCACTTGTATTTGTGCATTTTTATTTTTACATCCATTCATGTTTTCCATCTTCGAGTCCTCCAGAGCTTTTCACTTGTGAGTATTTTGTGCTGCCTCGTCAGCTTTTAGTTTTGTTTTCTTGTTGAATAAATTAGTAATTTTTATATTTGAGCATTTTTCAATTTTTTCTGGGTTCAACTCTGCTCAAAACCTGATAGTTTCTCAAAACAGGCAATTAGGTTTGCGAGAAATACCTTCATAAACAAAATCAAAATCACAACACATATTTTCTAAGCATCATCCAAAATGCTACTGATGTAAGGTGAGATCACACTTTAGCTTCTCTCCATTGGTTTCCTGTCAAATTCAGAAAGGAACCTAAAATATTCTCACATGCAAAACCCTAAACAACCAAGCTCTATGTTAAAGATGCTATTACTATTTATTTTCCTAACAAAGCAGTTTACTCTCAGACTGAAGGTTCACTTGTGGTTCCTAGAGTTTTTAAATATAGAATGAGAGACAGATTTTTTTTGTCATCAGGCTCCTCTTTTGCAGAACCAACTTCTAATTTGTGGCTGTGAGGCTGATCCCATTTCTAGTTTTAAGACCAGGCTTATGACTTTGTTATTTTATTTATTTTTGATAAATCCTATAGTTAGGGCTTTATATTCTCCATGTTTCAACATATATTTTTTTGCAGTCATTAATAATTTTTTCTTTATTCATCTTGCCATAGACACTAGACCTGTGCCAATCCTTCTGTGTTGATCTGTCTCTTTCCTGTTCTTTTTGTTTTTCTTCACTAGTTCTCTAATGAGGCGCACGCATTCCTTCCCGTTCCCTGTTTTCCTCCTGCTTTTTGCTCTCTGTCTGTTTATCAGAGCAGCTCCTAATTTTTACACATCTCCCAAAATGGAAACTACTGTTTTGGATCTGACCAACTGGACTTTCGACATATATTACAAATCCTTTTCAACAAAGCGACAGGGTCCTGGAGAACCCTCATCTGCTCAGACGACATGCATGCAGCTGGATATATCTCTGGGGGGGATGTGTCTACCTCTGCTAATGACCTAGGATGCTGAAATTGCAGATAATTGTATTTATGATAACAGTTTTCCTGTTTTTTGAATAATTTGGATCCTGGTTTATCAACATACAAAGAAGACGGTCGCAGCTAATTTGGACATCGACAGGCTGCTGCCTCTGTGAAGGTCTGGTTTGTGCTGGAGGACTCTAAATCAGCTGATTTACGAGTGAAACCGTAAGTTGGAAGTGATTTGAATCGCATGCCACCTGCGGCTTTGGGACTCATCGGCATGAAAAACCATCTTGAAGAGGCTCGTAAGCACGGACCAGTGGAATCCATCCTAATCTGGTCATTTCGGACCTGGGAAAGTTATCAGTACAGACTCAAGGCTGACGGAAAAATAGTCTGCCGGAATAAATCAACAGTTGTGGTTATCTGAATCTCTCCCCAGCTAGCCTCGGAACAGGCTGACCTATCAATTTCTCCTGGAAAATGTGTAAACTAGGGTAAAGCTTCGTCTATTGAACCCCCCACCCCCACCTCCACCCCCACCCCTTCTGTGGAGTCTTATTAGAACTGTGCCGGCTGACCATCATCTTATCAGGCAATGGACTATCAGTGCTTCATGAACCACCTCATTGTAATTGCATATGTAACTGTTCTTAAATATGCTTAGCTGGCAGAGTTTTTTGATGTCTTAAATCTTGCCCTGTAAGGACAAGGCGTGAAGAGATCTTTTTTGTAATGCCACTATCCCTCTCCTCATGGCTTTGTCTCTTTTTCTATCTAAAAAATGTATTCTGAATAAGAATAAGAAAGCCGCGCTTTATAGCAGCAGCTTCGTGCACTCCATCCATCGTTGAATGGCTGTACGTACATGTTCTCGTTGTATCTCGGTGCAATCATAATAAAGCTTATTCTGATTCTGATTCTGCTCTCAGACTCCAGCCAGTTAAGGCAAATGTCCACCTATCCAGAGCTTGGTTTGTTAAAAGGAACTCATACCTGTCTGCTGTCTTTCCGTGCTGCTCAGGATGGGGGATCATGATGAAGTGTATATTCAACACAATCTGCTAGCTTCCTTAGATACCATAACTTTTTCTAATTAGCATTTCATAATGTATTGTATGAGAAAGTATTGTGATATAACTTGAATAGATTGACTATTATTGGATTTAAATCTGCATCTAAATTGGACTGAATTGCTTTTTCCCCCACATATTGTGTCCAAAGATTACTTTAGTTGTGAATCTGAACTAGATAAAAGCTGAATTAAGTTGGATTAAAAGCTGAAGAGTGTCATTTTTATGTGGAGAAACCACTATGGCTTTTAGCCTTCTAATGATGTAGGAAATGAAGCACCAGCAGCAAGAAGCATTGTGTTCTTCCACAACAAGGTAAATAACTTGTTGTCCCCCTGGTGAAACCAAGGCCGTTGTTTCAGAGGGAGCTCATTTCAAACTAAACACTGGCAGCCACAAGCTCCATCAATATGCCATCGACTTGCCTTGTCCAAGCAGAGCGAGCTTCCCTCTCATGTCACTTCTACCTAGAAGGTTTTCATCTGCCGTCTGAGCAATAAAACAACATGAGCCTTCCTGTTTTTGTTTCATCGCAACAGCATGCAAACACTTCCTCAAGCTCTCACTCTGCTCTTTGCAAGTGTTCTAGTTAAGGATCTTCCCATTCCTCTCTCCACGGCTGTTATGATAGCTGTTGAACTTAATGGTGATTTAACTCATCTCCTGCTGCTGTGGTGAGCACAAAAACACACAATACACATACAAACAACATGCAATAATGCATACAGAGGAGAACAGGCTGACACTTAAAGCTGGAAGAGCAGAACTGAGTCGAGTTCACAGAACAGAGTTTTATTGTTGCCACCTACAACAACAAAAAGTCCTTATCAAATTCTTCCAGGCAAATGTTTCCTAATGTATTAAATCCAGGTGGCCACCACAGTCACCATTTGCAAGATGTGTTAAAGGTCAGGGTACAAACTGAGGATGAATCTCAGGTATTACCACTTAATATTTCAGTACATTATAGTTTTGTTTTGGTAATGTCGACTAGCTGTGCCAGCCGTCTTCAAGTAGGTTTCCAAAACTAAATCAGTTCTTGATGTACAACCAAAGGTTGTTGTCTAAAAAGTTTCATTAAAATCCATCTGTTGGTTCATGCAAAGTTTTGCTAACAAACATACTACAGTAGAATCAAAGCATTTATAGGGCATTTGACTCCAGTATTTAATGTCAGCTTGGAAATATAGATTTCACTCCATCAGTTAGGTCTCAGAATGTTGAGGATGAATCTCAACCCCATCTCACCTCAAGTGAACTTAATATCCAAACAGTTGGCTGAGCAGAGACATTTTTGTGTGTGCCAATGTCACATAACTGTGGCAACCATCTTGAATGAATGAAAATGATTTCAATTTTTAATCATTTGAAGATGTACAACAAATGATTAGTATCTGAGTTGCTTTTAAATCTGTCCACTAGTTCATGAGATGTTTTGATAGGATAGGAGCAGATTTACAGACTCAAGCAAACACACTTTACTTTTCCTCTGCCTTTGGTAGCAGGTAATAAAAGCAGATTATTATTCTGTGCACATCTGACTGTTTATGGGGATGAAAACTTCCAGTTTATAAGGCTGACACATTGTCCAGTTTTAAGACTGGGCTTAAGACTTTCCTTTTCGATAAATCCTATAGTTAGGGTTGGCTTGTTATGCTGCCTTAAACTTAGACTACTGGAGGACAAATTGACCTCATTTCCTTAAATTAATTTTTAAAATTGAATAGTTTTCAATTAATACTATTTCTGTCTTAACATGTGATTCTTGGCCTGTCATTGTTTATCTGTTCCTCTCAAACCCAGCTGATTCAAAGCAGTCTGCTCCTCAGATAAATAGTGTTAAATTACTATTTTATATATGAATGTTTCTGTTCAGTGCCCTGAGATGACTTCTGTTGTGACTTGGCACTATATAAATAAACTGAACTGAAATTGAATTGAAATTAAATTGAAAACAATTGGAAATTAGATTTGAATGTATAGATATAGTATTATTTAAACTTACTCCACATAATACGTTCCGTATTGTGGGTCATCAATTTCCTCCCAGCCGTATGGTAACTCTGAAAAGAATAAAAAAACAGTAATAATAATAATAATAATAATAATAATAATAATAATAATAATAATA